GTTTGTTGTCATGCTTATGTTGTTTTACTGTACCTATGTTTGTGCACTAATGTATTTCGTATTGTTTAGAGTCGCACCATTACTGCTCGCAATAGTATTACCAGCAGTATGGTTCGTATAACTCTTATCATTGCCATTACCATTCTCAAGCTTCGTAGAATTATTATAACGATCATTCTGATGTTAACCATTGTTATTGTTGTTATTATTTTGTTATTCTTATTGTTGCTATAACTCTCATCACCGGCGTCATCACAATGTTTCTCCCTCCTCCTATCACCTCCATCTCTTCCTTATCGTCCTCATCGTCCTTCTCTTCCTTCTTCCTCCTCCCTTCTCGTTCCCTCTCTCCCCCTGCTACCCTCCCGGCCAGACGTAGAGAGCAATCGTGATCTGCAGCGCCGAGGAACATTGTTCAGAAGCTGGACAGAAAAGTTGGCGGCGGCTGATGTTTGGTGAGGCTGTTTCGGAGATTCCCGGCTGTCTCCCGAGCCGAATCTGCAGTTTTCGGCGTGCCCTCGCACGCTCTGACCCGTTTCGGTTAGCCTTTGGCTTTTCCGCCGGGTGTGTATTTATCTTCGGAGCTTTCATCAGTGTTCGGAATTTCTTGGATGATTCCGCAGATCTCCGGAGGGATGAGAACGAGTAGAAGAGGAGGAGGAGGAGGAGGAGGAGGAGGAGGAGGAGGAGGAGGAGGAGGAGGAGGAGGAGGAGGAGGAGGCAAGGGCGGAGGAGGAGCAGGAGGACGAGGAGGAAGAGGAGGAGGAGGAGGACTATCGCAGGTTCACCACTAGACCGTGTCCTGCTAGAGGGGGTTGCCCACCCACAAGAGGAGGAGGTTCGGAGTAAGCACAGCACGCGCGACTGATGTCGACGGAAAAACCACGATGGCCATGACCGAGATGTCGCGGGATCTTGTCGACTCCTACCTTGGCCATGGTCCATGCCAGCCGTCGCCGATTCGCGGCTCTGATCCACGAGATGACGACCACCAACATCGGCACCTACGTTTCCGCATCCAGTCTTCGTCATGGTCTGTAGCATGTTCCTTTTCCTCCATGATGCTGCAATGCGCCATCCCTTCCCAAGGCCCCCCCCCTCGGAAGTCCCACTGCGGACTGGGGAGACCCTCTTCACTGCGGCGGGCACGCCCGCCGGGAAGGGCGAGGGAGCCTGCGGGCCTCTAGGATGAGGGCCCTGTGCTTTCTGTGTTTGCGTCAGCGACCAAGTTCAGGAGCCGAAGAAGGACGTGCACTTACACGAATCCACGCTTGTTTCGATCATGCGCGTTGCGCGAACATTCGTAACACGAGGCCGGGCTCGCCGACTGGGGGGGCCGTCTTCATGTATGTGGTTGGGCGCGTACGTCCCCTCGTGAGCACCTTACATGTGGCATGCTTTGGTATCGTGCTAGCGCCGCGCGTTTGGCTCATCAAATGGCTTCCCTTCTCGGTGCTTCAAACATCCATGATGAGGCAAGTGAGAAACGCTGTTTCTCCAGATCAAGTCCGGGTTCGACCGCGCGGCACCTCGAATCGCAGCGAGGTAGGGAGGGGGGTGGCCCTCATTTGTGCGGCTGGCAGCACCTCTGAGGATGTTCTGCCTGCGCGACGCCGAAGCGAGAGCTCGTTCTGGGACATCTCACCCGAGAGCAGGTGGGGAACAGGGGTCGCCCTGAGTTTTCGAGCTACATGGCCGTGTAGCCCGAGGGAGTCTAAAGCGATGGCAGCACGTTGAAGTTCAGTGGTCGGTCAAAACGCCAGTCATTATGATAGCACGTTCTGCAGAATTGTGTGACGAACGTGATCTGTTCAACATGTCAGCCCTCCACCCGTGCACCTGTGGGAAATTCCCATCTTCATTGTGACACAATGTGCGGATATTTTAGACGATAACCCTATGTTGAATCGGAAGAGCCCATTACCCATGTAGCCTCTGGACGCTTTCGAGACGAACGTGCACGGCGCGAATGCGAGAGCCACGCGTCTACACGGGTTACCCTCAATCCGTTTGGCAGCCGGGTCATTGTAAGGACAAAGTAAGGACAATGTAAGGCATTGTAAGGACAATGTAAGGACAAAGTAAGGACAATGTAAGTACAATGTTGGAACCTGTGCGTTGTAATGACAATGTAATAAGGCATTCTCGTGGGACGCGTATGGGCCGCCCTGCCGACACGACCGGTGGTACGACGAGGTGGAGCTGCTCCCAAGGAAGAAGACTAAGGACGAGGGGCAGGAAGGGGGTAGGACAGAAGAGGAGAACCAGGGAGGGAGAACGATTTGGATGGCGAGGGTAGTGAGGATGAGGGGGATGAGGAGGAGGAGGAGAGGGATGAGGAGGAGGAGGAGGGGGAGGAGGAGGAGGAGGAGGAGGAGGAGGAGGAGGAGGAGGAGGGAGGAGGAGGGAGGAGGAGAAGGTGAAGGAGGGAGGGGTAGAGGGAGGTAGGGAGGAAGAGGAGTAGGATGAGGAAGATGAGGGAGGGAATGGTGGCAGGAAGGCGGAGGACGAGGAAGACGCATATGAGGATGGAGGGTACATATTTATAGAGACAGAGAGGGAGAGAGAGAGAGAGAGAGAGAGAGAAAGAAAGAGAAAAAAAAAAGAGAACGAGAGAGAGAGAGATAACGAGAGAGAGAGGGAGAGAGACAGAAATATGGAGAGCGAGAGAGAGAGAGAGAGAGAGAGAAAGAGAGAGAGAGATAACGAGAGAGAACGAGGGAGACAGAGGTGGAGAGAGCGAGAGAAGGAGAGAGGGATGTGTATAGGCATCTACATCTATATACAGAGAGAGAAAAAAGGAGAGAGAAAGGGAGAGAGAGAGCGTGGGGGAGAGAGGGAGAGAGAGAGAGAGAGAGAGAGAAAGAGAGAGAGAGAGAGAGAGAAAGAGAGAGAGAGAGAGATCGGACAAGTAGGCGGACCAGGGTCCGTCCGCGAGGCGCACTGCGGTGCGACAACCCGCAAAACACTATTAGCGGCGGTGCAGCCTTAAGATACGAGGGCGGGCAACAGACCCCCTCCCCCGGCGCATTGCGTCTGAAGCTACGGACGGCGGACAGACTGTGAAGATCTCACGTGTCAGACCGCGTGACGAAGAAGGCCCCAACAAGAAAGGCGACGTGCGGACACGTGGCTAGGCGGCTTGGCAGACCGCCAGTTGGGCGCTTGGCCGCAGCGCGGCGCGCAGGGACGGGGCACCCCCCGCCCCCACGCCCTGACACCGTGGACGCGGGGCCACGCGTGCACACGGGCAGGCAGAATGGCGGAGATTAGCGCGGGGCTCCAGGCGGAGCGCCGCGGAGCGATGACAGCATAGCATGGAGGGTGAGTGGCGGCGCAGCACCATCGGGCGGGGGTGTAAGCAGCTCGGCGAAGGCACGACCGGCGCGGTGGAGGCGCTGGAGCAAAGGGCCTTGACGGGCTTGGGCAGCGGCAAGGTCGGCGGCGAGAGCTGCGCACCTCTGCTGGAGAGCGGCCATAGACTGGGACAGCTCGGTTTCGCGGTCGGTGCGGGGCGGCTGCTCTGTGCCCGCGGCCGCGGGCCTCGCGGCGGGGGCGAGGTCATCGGTGCGCCTGGCCAGGTGGTGGACCAGCGCGGTGCGGCGGTCCGTGCGCTGGCGGCCGTCGCCGTGGCGAGGCGACTGGAGGGTGTCGCGCGGTCCCAGGGCTGAAGCCGCTGGGGCCACGCCCCATGAGGACGGAGGAGCCGCAGCCTCGCAGCCTGCAACAGTAGGAGCGTGGACGGGGCGCGACGGCCTGACTGGCTCAGTGCCCTGCGGGGGGGCTGAAGCCGCCCCCGCGGGCTGGCGCTGGTGGGGGGACGGGGTTGGTGGCACGGAGGGACCAATCATGATGCCGTGCGAGGGCTCAGAGGTCGGCCGCGTGACCGGGTGGCGACTCGATGAAGCGGCATCGTCGGCAGCGTGGGGTGTCGGCGGGACGTCGTCTATGCTGCCACCCAATCCGAGGGGATCATAAAAGTCCTCGTCGGCGTCTTGGAGGTGAGCGACGTCATCATGTGGGTGCGGTGCCGCTCTCGGTGGCGGAGTCGAGGTGGGCGTCGTGCGGATGCCCGACGGGGCGAGGTTGGCGCTGGCTGGCCCGTCGTCCAGGAAGTCTAGTCCCCCGCCGAAGCCGAACGGGTCGTCCTCCTGTTCGTCGTACATCGCCCGTTGGGCCTCGGCCCAGAGCTCGTCCGGGTTCTGCGGGATGTCTGGTCCAGCCGCGGGTGGTAGAGAGAGAAAGAGAGAGAGAGAGAGAGAGAGAGAGAGAGAGAGAGGGAGAGGGAGAAGGAGACAGGGAGAGGGGGGAGAGAGAGAGAGAGAGATATTGGAAACGAGAGGGAGATAGAGGGAGAGAGAGGGAGATAGAGGGAGAGAGAGAGAGAGAGAGAGAGAGAGAGAGAGAAAAAAAAAGAAAGAAAGAGAGAGAGAGAGAGATTGAGTGATAGAGAGAGAGAGAGAGAGAAAGAGAGAGGGATGGAATGAGAGAGAGAGAGAGAAAACAAGAGGAAGAGAGAGAGAGAGAGAGAGAGAGAGAAAGAGAGAGAGAGAGGGGATGAGGAGGAGAAGGGGGAGGGCGGAGCCAGTGAAGGAGCTGGTGGGCGAGGAGGGGGGCGAGACGGAGAGGGAGGAGGAGAGGGGGCGAGAAGAAGGAGGACGAGAACGAGGAGGAGGAGGAGATTGATGAGGAAGATGAGGAGGAAGAGGACGAGAAGGAGGAGGAGGAGGAGAAAGATGAGGAGGAGGAGGAGGAGGAGGCGCAGGGCGAGGGGGAGGAGGAGGAGGAGGAGGAGGAGGAGGAGGAGGAGCGGCGGCGGCGGCGGAACTGCGCATGGACTCCGTGCAATCCGGAATCTGGCAGAGCGATCGGGTCGTTGCCCGAACTTCTTCTGAAGGCTTTGGCCCCAGGCCTAGGGGGGCGGCCCCGACCGAGCGTGTCCGGCTAAGCACGCCAAGGGGGGCGGCGGGCTCAGCCGAAGCACCGGGCGCATCTCACGCCTACTCGTCCTCTCCCAGATCGAGGTTGAGGTCCTTGAAGAGGTCCTGGGCCCTCCTCTCCAGGGCTCCCCGGGGGGCCTGGCCGAAGTACTGCTTGCATTTCATGCCCCGGAGGTGCTTGATCACGATATTCTCTAGCTCAACGTATTTCGGGTGCACACGAATGAAGAGCTTCACCTGGTTGGAATTGTACATCTTCTGCAACTTGCAACATGGGACGGCCTCCTGGAGCTCGTCGCTTGCCGGCCCGCCTCTAGGGTCACTGGGCGGCGGGTGAGCCGCGAGGAAAGTCCGGATCTTCGCAAGGTCTCCTTCTTCAATCTGCTCTGACGTGCTGGCCTCAATCAGCAACACTATGAATGCCCATGGGTCTGGGCCGCCCTCGTCATGGCCACTCTTGCCCTTCGTGCGGTCGGCGTGGATCGTGTACGCCTTCCGGACCCCCTGCGCTGCCGTGCTGTCCGTTGCAACCCGGAAGCAGATGAACACGACTGCCATGAGCATGCGTACCTCTTGCTTCGTCTGGAGGCACAGCTTCACGAGGATGGACAAGAGCTCCTTGATCTTGTCCCCGTCTTCGGCGCTGCCGCCGCCCCGCCTCTTCCGCGGGGGTTCGGCGGCACCTCCGCCCAAGAAGGACGCCCATGCCGCGTCAGCCATGCTACTCTTCGGGGACTGCGCCCAAGTCGATCTGAAATGTGTCCGGTAAGTGAGAAGCCAGATGCCACAGCAGCGGAGTGGCAGACTCGAACTCAACGTCGCAGATACGGCAAGAGAAAGGAGGAGGAACAATGATCTCATGACAGATTGCACTCCCTCTCTCCCATCGAACGTCGTAGAATCCTCGTTGCAAGCTCCTTCGCAGATGATGTCTCGTAATGTTGACGGAAGAATGGATGGCCCGGCACGCACAACATTGATTGACGCGGGCCAGCGACGCAGCAAGTGTACCGTAGCCGTGCTCTCCCCCTAGCGGACTGTGTATCTGATGCATCCGCATCGCCAGTTTACTCTGGAAGCGGCGGCGACACACGGCACCGTCGTCACGCGTAAGTCGGCACTCCCATTCTTCCTCCCCGTCCTCCCCCAAAACTGGTCCTCCATCGGCCCCCTGCTCCGCTGGTTTGTACTCCTGCTCCTGAGCGGAATGCTGCTGCTGCTGCTGCTGCTGCAATGGTGGAGCCGGGGTGGAGCCGGGTTGGAGCCGGGGTGGAGGAGGAGGAGCAGGAGAAGGAGTAGGACAGGCAGGAGAGAGGAGGAGGGAGGAGGAGGATGATGGGGATGAGGGGGGGACTGGGAGTTGGAGGGAGGAGGGCGAAGCGGAGGAGGAGGAGGATGAAGAGGAGGAGGCAGGGGGGGGAAAGAGAGAGAGAGAGAGAGAACGAGAGAACGAGAGAGAGAGAGAGAGAGACAGCGAGAGGAACATGAGGAGGAGAAGGAGGGAGGAGCCAGTGAAGGAGGTGGTGGGGGAGGGGGTGGACAAGGCGGAGGAGGGGGAGTAGGAGGACCAGGATGAGGAGGATGAGGATGAGGAGGTGGAGTAGGAGGACCAGTGTAAACCCAAGACTCATCAACGATCCGTCGTCATTTTTGGCCAAAGTTGAACCTGGGGGCCCTGGGGTCTGCAACTTGTACGCAGCCGAGGGGCAGGCTCGAGTGCCCTGTGCGCGACTTGATCATCACTCCCGTCCTGGTGGAACCAGCCAGGCTCGGCGGCGGCAGTCTCCTTGAGGCCAGCCGATGGCCAAGGGAGGTTGGCTCTCGAGGATGGCCAGTTCCGCGCGCCCAGCGGCCCCCCCACTCAGTCGCAGCGGGACATGTTGCTCCATCGGCGGGCGATGGCATCCTCGGGAGTGGCCCAGCCAGCGCTCGATGCTGGCAAGTGTCTCAAGATGTGGGCACGTTGTCGACTCAGCTGTTGCTGGCTCGCAGCCGTCTTCAGCGGCTCGAGTATCGCCACTGAGGCCCTGGCGATGGTTGTGGACCAGGAGGAGGCCGTGCGCGGCTTGCAGGAGTAGTTCGATGCAGCCAGGGCGCGCGCCGCGGCGGCGCTCGCGCAGCGATGGGTGCGAGCTCCCGCCCGCGATGTCCGCCATGGTGCAGGCATGCGAGCGCTTGCTGGGGGCTATGGCAGGGGCGCTTGGCGCCGTCGCGCCCGCGCCAGCCTCGCCACTCGCCCCGCAGCTGGTCGCCGCGGGCGCGGGCGTGCGCCCGGGCCTGCAGCGCGGCGGTGCGCTGGCGCCCATGGCTGGCCCGCTGGGCGACGCCAGGGGCAGCGAGGCCTTTGGGCTGGCGGCGCCTGCGGGGGCCCCGCCGCCCACAGGCGGGTTCGGCGCTCGCGCCGCCGTGGATCGCCGCGTTGGCGGTCCTGCGCGGGGTGCGGCGGAGGCGTCCGAGGACGAGGACATGGGCGCGAATGGCTGGCCCCCGCCGCTCGCGCTCGAGGACGCAGCGGGCCCGCGGACGCGCCGGGCGGCCCGCCGGGCGCTCCAGCGGGCTGACGACCAAGGCCTTCTTGGCGACGGCCGCGCTCGCAGCCGTTCTGCGCCTGGGAATGCCGAGTCCCAGTCAGCTCCTAGAGTAGTGCGCGGTGAAGCAGTGGCTGGACGTGCACCTCCGCGCCGAGGGCGCGGGTGAGTGTGGCTGGCCATATGAAGGTGCTCAGAGCGAAGTCGCCCATCTGCATGATGAATTCTGGTTTGTCCTCAGCGTTCAGGACGTCTGCCGTGGGGGGTGGAACATCGCGCACGTGGTCTTCGCCGCGGAGGCTAGATCGCGCCCCGTTGCCAGGCGGCCCCTCGGGCCCCTCGTCGGTGGACTCTCTGCCGGGCGCGTTGGGGCCCCAGGGGGGCCTCTCGGCGCTTGGATTGCAGCCGGGAGCGGCCGCCCGCGAGTCGGGGGGGGCGATGAGCTGGCCTGCTGAGGATACGGACGCACATGTTCATCTCGTTCGGCCTGTTCGCGCCGTCCTGGTCTCATGCGACGGCGGCGTGAAGGGCGGCGTTGGTTCTTCCAAGAAGCAGTGCGAACCGTGGGTCTTCACCTCCTGTGACATTACCAGCTGGGCCAGGGCACAGTACCTCTTGCAGGAGGAGGCCCGCGGCGACTTCGCGATGATGCAAGAGGTCGGAACGCGCCCCGACCTCCGTCCTGACTCGGAGGCGTCTCTAGGCAGGGTCGGGTGGAAGGCCGAGGTTTCGCCGTCGACAGACACGGGGGGTGGCTTCTCTGGGGCTCGGTGCTGGCCGCCCGTCCTCGCATGCGCCTCGGAGAGGCCCCCGTTCCCAAGCGCCCCTGGCCTTCTGAGCGAGAAAGCTTGGCGTGGGCCAACGGGCTGGCCCAGGGTGGCATCGTGGTCGCTTCAGTCCACCTTATCACTGGGCGGGATCTCGACGACGCGTCGCACGTGATCCCTCAGCAGCTGAAGGGGGGCTCTCAAGGCCTTGAGGTGGCGGTTCATCTTGGGGGGCGACTGGGACATGGCGCCATCTGTTTTGATGGCCTCTGGTTGGGACGCCGCTCTGAGTGGACCCATCGTGAAAACAAGGGCGCGCGCGTGCCGCAACGCTGGGTCATCCTGGAATGCGTGGAATATTTGGTGGTCTCGTCGGGCTTTTGCCCAGTGTTCGGGGGTGTTTTCAGCTACATGAATGCAGCGCTGCTCCTCATTGGGCCGCCCGTCTGGAGATTGCTAGTCAATTGCCGTGCTTCGAGCTCCCGAAGCAGTTCCCTGTGGAGCTGCCTACGGGGCCAGCCTGGCCAGTCCTGGATGAGGTTTCGGTGGTCGACCCAATCGAGGCAACTCGGGGCCCAGCTGATGTGCCCAACGTGCATCGCGCCTATGCGAGCAGGCCGAGGCCGAGCTATCTGGGCCCCATTGCCAGTCCAACCAGGAGGCGCAGCAGTTCCACAAGCGCGGAGCTGGCGCCCCGGTCGTAAGTCGACCAGCGATGGCGAAGTCGGGGGGGGGGGGGGGGGGGGCTGCGCTCGGGCGCCGCGGGGGGGGGGGGGGGGGGGCGTGGCAAGATATCCGCGAGAGGCGCTTCGGCACCTTCTGCTTGGGGGTCAATGCAGTTCTCGGGATGCCCGAAATCTCATGCAGAAGTTTTTTTCTTGGTCTGGGCAGCTCCGACGTGATTCGGCCCTGGAAGAGGTTCGGGCGAGGTCGGGGACTCTAGAGCTCGACCCCGCGCTCGACCCTGATGGTCACGTCGACTGCGCGGCCGACCGGACGAAACGCCCGGGGCTCATTTTTTGCCGAGCGGCGCGCCAAGTCGCGGCGCGAGCTAGTCCAGCGTTCGGTTTAGTCTGGAGGCGGACTGGCCCATCGTGTCTCGAGGGTTCCAACTGCTTCCATGGTGGCGCCCCTGGAGGCGCCGATGCTGTCTTGCAAAGGTTGGAAGACTAAGGGGAAGTCATCCTGGGAAGGCAGTCGGAGGCCAAGGAGAGTAATCGATTTCGGGGCATCTCCAGGTACCTTGGGGCTCTGAATTTGGGCGATGTTCCTGGGCCGCCTTCTGCGCTCGTGCTTCGAGCAGTTCTTCGTCGGTTGAAATCTTGGGCGGCCGTGGGCGGCGTCCTAGGGCCCCCAATCAGCTTTTTGATGGAGGCCTGGAAGCGTCCGTGCTGCTCTCTGGGCTGCTGGAGCGTTTTGTCGTTTTCCCATGCCAGATCTCGACCATCATTATGGGTATCCTGAGCAAGCTGGGCGGGGGAAGCGACCCATGCGTGCATTCTCGGCGCCCGGGTTGGGATCCTTGCAGCGCGTCGACGGAGAGAGGCCGAGCGCTGGGAGGACCAGTGTTTCGGCCCTTTGCTCCTGGAGCGCGTGGTGAGAGTTGTGAGCATGCGGCGTGGAAGCACGCCGCGGTTGCTGAATGGGCTCATCTGAGTAGGCCCCCCACGGCTACCGCGCTGAGCGATCTGCGGGAAGTTGATGAGCATGTGCCCCGCAGCGGGCTGATTCAGACTGCTGCAGAAATGCGGTTTTGGGCTTCGGGGGCCGTCTCATCTGCTCGCCTTATATTCGGGGCCCAGGGTCCTACAGCTGGGGGGGGGGGGGGTATCACGACTAGCTTTCGGCGGCCAGGGCATTGTTGCGGGGTGCTCGTTCGCGACGACGTTGTTACGACTGTTCCTGATGGAGTCCGTCGAGTCGGTGCGTGGTCGTGTCCCGTCGCTGGGGGCGTACCGTGCGGTGGGTGAAAGTTCGCTGGCCGTCGTCGACTGGCCCTCGCAGAACGGCGCGCCGCGCCTCATCTGCCGGCGCGGACCCCCGATGCCGGGTGCTCGAGGATAGGGGCCTGGAGATATTTCACAGCAGTAAGATGATCACTGCATCCCCCCAGCCTGCCCAGGGCCCTGGTGCACTGCTTCGCCGTCGGAAGTTTCAGGAGGATCGGGGAGTAAGCAACTTGTGCGCGGGGAGAGGGGGGGGCGCTGTGGGGGCCCGCCAGTCTCGGAAGGTTCAGCGAGAGAGGATCCGAGGAGTGCGCCGTCGTGTCCGACGATCCCGACTGATGAGTTCCAGCAGGAAGGGCCTCTCTCAGGTATTCAAGACAGGAGGGAGCCTAGCCGCGTTGCACGGGGCTCGTGTGTTCGGTATTTTAAACGCCTCTCGCCTCTTTGGCATATTTTAGAGCTGCGGCGGGGGCCGCCTG